TAATAGTTGATCTGGAAATTCTGGCTTATGATCAGTTCCATGGAAAATGTGGTTGATTTCATAGAAGTAATGTAATTAAAGTTACAAATCAATTCTGTTTATAGGACACTGTAGTATGCTGCTCCATTAAATCAGAATAATAGATAATCTGACCTCTGAAAGTCTCTTTTTTTGTTTTTTGAGACAGTCTCACTTTGTTGCACAGCTGGAGTGCAGTGGCGTGATCTCAGCTCGCTGCAACCTCCACCTCCTGGGTTCAAGCGATTCTCTTGCCTAAGCCTCCCAAGTAGCTGGGATTGCAGATGCCCACCACCACACCTGGCTAATTTTTGTACTTTTAGTGGAGATGGGGTTCACCATATATTGGCCAGGCTGGTTTTGAACTCCTGACCTCAGCTGATCCACCCACCTCAGCCTCCCAAAGTGCTGGGATTACAGGTGTGAGCCACTGTTCCAGGCCTCAAAGTCTTTTTTAACCCCGCTTTCTTTTAACTAGACAATACTTTAAAAGTTAAAGGACAGCTGTTACTTGTCAGTTGGTTTGATGACAAATACCAGTAAAAAAGAAATTATGTTGAAATTTAAATATATTTTAATTCTAGATTTTAACTTTTATATACATATTTTACAATTTTAAAGTGCTGTGGTGATTTTTTTGAGTAGACTTTTCATCTGCATTTTTATTATGAAGTCCAGCTTTCAAAATCACTGTTGTTGAATAATTTGCCAGACTGTAAATAAAAATTCTTTATCTTTACAAACCAATTTCCAAGGTACTACCTAACAGAATTAGACTAGTGGCCGCTTGTAACTAGATTTAAAAGACCCTACTAACAATAGAAAATTTTTTTTTTTATTGAGCAATGCGTAACATGTATATTATGCTTTTTCTTTCTTGACTTAAATAACTCCTTTGGTTTTGAGGTTTTTGAGGAAGAAGACAAAATAAGCTGTATATTTTAAGGCAAAGAGCTGTTGTGGTCTACCATGTTCTGTAAAACTAATATGATGCTGTGGTAAAAATTTGGAAAGAAAAAATTTTAGATGTAGTAAAGGCTGTAAAGTTATTTGTACAAACTCTCTTTATATTATAAGTAATATAAAATGGACTGATCTATTTTTTAATGTTCATATTTTCACTATATGTTGGTATCAAATATAGTTTTTAATTCATTTTAAAATTTTTTTGTATTTTGAAAATTTATTGTTTTTATTGTATATTGACAAATTATAAAATATTTATTTTTAATTGGCAATAATTATATATATTTATGAAGTACAATGTTATGTTCTGATACATGTATATATTCATTATGAAATGATTAAATTAAGCTGATTAATATAATTATCAACCCACATACTTTTTGTGTGGTATAGACATTTAAAAATCTACTCACTTAGTAATTTTTAAACCTAAGTTACATTCTTAACTATAGTCTCTATGCTGTGCATAGAAGGGAATGGGGAGATATTGACTACAGGTGATATTGACTACTTAATTCCTCTTAAGTGAAACTTTGTATCCAGTAATCTGTATCTCCAGATTCTATTCTCTCCTATCCCTAGCCTGTGGTAACCACCATTCAACTCTCAAAAAATAAATTTCCTTGTGTTTTAAGGCTGAATAGTATTTCCTTGTGGCTATATAACACATTTTCATTATCCATTCATTGTAGATAGAGATTGATTTCATGTCTTAGCTACTGTGAATAAACCACAATGAACGTGGGAGTGCAGATATCTCCTTGACATACTGACTTTGGATATATACTCATAAGTGGGATTGCTGTATCCTATGGTAGTTATCATTTTAAAGTTTGGAGGGCCCTCCCGACTGTTTTCCATAATACTAATTTATATTCTTACTAACTGTGTAGCAGAGCTCCTTTTCTCTACATCCTGTGTAACACTTGTTATTCTTTGTCTATTTGATGATAGCCACTCTAACAGATATGAGATGATTTCTCATTGTGGTTTTAATTTGCATTTCCTTGATGATTAGTGATGTTGAACATTCATATGTTTATTGCCCATTGTATGCCTTCTTTTGAGAAATGTCTGTTCGTGTCATTTGCCCACTTTTTGTTCTACAGATGAGAAGATTCTTTGTACATTTTTAATTGGGCGATTGGTTTTCTTGCCATTGAGTTTTTAATATATTTTGGACATTAACCCCTAACGAGATGTATGGTTTAAAATCTTTTCTTCTAATCTATAGGTAGTCTTATCACTCTATTAATTGCTTCTGGTTTTTTAAATTATTTTTTCCTGTTTCAAAGCTTTTTCATTTGATATAATCTCATTTGTCTGTTTTTGCTTTGTTAATTGGTGCTTTTGAAGTCACATCCAGAAAATCACTGCCCAGACCAATGTTGTGGAGTTTTTCTCCTATGTTTTCTTCTAGTAGTCTTATGGTTGCAGGTCTTATGTTTAAGCCTCTAATCCATTTTGAGTTGATTTTTCTATATGGTGTGAGTTAAGGATCCAGTCTCATTCTTCTGCATGTGGTTATCCAGTTTTCCCAGCACATTTATTGAAGAAACTGTGTTTTCTCCATTACTTGTTCTTGGCACCTTTTCAAAGATCAATTGAGTATAAAGCATGGATTTATTTCTGGGCCCTCTGTTCTGTTCCATTGGGCTGTGTGTCTGTTTTTGTGCCCATACTATGCTGTTTTGATTATTATAGCATTGTAGTATATTCTGAAATAAGTAATGTGATGCCTCCAGCTTTATTCTGTTTGTTTATGATTGCCATGTCTATTCAGGGTCTTTTGTAGTTTATTACACATTTTAGGGTTTTTGTTTTCTATGAAAAATGTTGTTGGTATTTTTAAAGAAATTACATTTAATCTGTAGATTGATTTGGGTAGTATAGTCATTTTAACAGTATTAATTCTTCTGATTAATGAGCATGGGATAGCTTTCCACTTGTTTGTATTCTCCTCAATTTCTTTCATCAGTGTTTTGTAGTTTTCCTTGTAGAGGTTTTTTGCCTCCTTGGTTAGATTTATTCCTAAGTATTTTACTTTGTTTGTAGCTACTGCAAATGGTATTGTCTTCTGGATTTTTTTTTCAACTAGTTCATTTATGTATGGAAATGTTACTGCTTTTTGTCTATTAATTTTGCATTGTATAACTTTGAATGAATTGAATTTTTATATCAGATCTAAGAGGTTTTTTGGTAGAATCTTTTGGTTTTCTATATATAAGATTATGTCATCCACAAACAGGGACAGTTTAACTTTCTCTTTCCACCTTGGATGCCCTTCACTTCCCTTTCTTGCCTTATTGTCTGGCTAGGACTTCTAGTACTATGTTGAGCAAGAGTGGTAAGAATAGTACATTTGTCTGTTTCGGATCTTAGAGGAAAAACTTTCTTCTTTTCTGTTAAGTACAATGTTGGCTGTGGTTTGTCACATATGGCCTTTATTATGTTGAGATACTTTCCTTCTGATATGGTTTAGCTGTGTCCCTACCTAAATCTCATGTTGAATTGTAGCTTGCACAATTCGCACATATTGTGGGAGGGAACCAGTGGGAGGTAATTGAATCATGGGGACAGGTCTTTCCCATGCTATTCTCATGATAGTGAATAAGTCTCAGGAGATCTAATGGTTTCATAAAGGGGAGTTTTTCTACACAAGCTTTCTTCTCTTGTCTGCCACCATGTGAGACATGCCTTTCAGCTTCTACCATGATTATGAGGCCTCCCCTGCAACATGGAACTGGAGTCCATTAAACCTCTTTCTTTTGTAAATTGCCCAGTCTTGGGTGTGTCTGTATCAGCAGGCTGAAAATAGACTAATACACCTTCCATACCTAATTTATTAAGACTTTTTTATCATTAAGCAATATTAAATTTTATCAAAAGCTTTTTCTGCATCTATTGAGATGATTATATGGGTTTTGTTCTTGATTCTATTCATGTGATATATGACATTTCTTGATTTGCATATGTTGAATCATCCTTGCATTCCTGTGATAAATCTCACTTGATCATGGTGTATTATCTTTTTAATGTGCTGTTGTATTTGGTTTGCCAGTATTTTATTGAGAATTTTTGTGTATATATTTATCAGGGTTATTGGCCTGGAGTTTTATTTTCTTATTGTGTCCTTGTCTGGTTTTAGTATCAGGGTTATGGTGGCCTCATAGAATAAGTTAGGAAAGATTTCCCTCTGCTTCACTTTTTTGGAGTAGTTTGAGAAGAATTGGTATTTATTGTTCTTAGAAGATTTGTTGGAAATCCGTAGTGAAGTCATCTGGTCTTGGACTTTCCTTTCTTGGAAGATTTTTTGTTATTGATTCAATCTCTTTATTTATAATTGGTCTGCTCAGGCTTTCCATTTCTTTTTGGTCAACCTTGGTAAGTTGCATGTGTTCAGGAATTTATCCATTTCATCTAGGTTTTCACATTTATTGGAGTATAGTTGTCCATGGTAGTCTGTAATGACCTTTTATATTTGGGTGATATCGGTTGTGACATCACGTTTTTTATTTCTGATATTATTTATTTGGATCTTCTCTCTTTACTTCTTAGTCTAGCAAATGGTTTGTCAGTTTTCTTTCTCTTTTCAAAACACCACCTTTTTGTTTTATTGATCTTTCATTTTTTTTTAGTCTCATTTTCATTTATTGTTGCTGTGAGTACATTATCTCTTCTGCAAATTTGGGGTTTGGATTTATCTTATTTTTCTAGTTTCTTGAGATGCATTTTTGTTTGTTTGAAATCATTCTAGTTTTTTGATTTATGCATTTATCGCTATAAGCTTTCTGTTATATTGCTTTTGCTATGTCCTAAAGGTTTTGGTATGTTGTATTTCTATTTTTATTTGTTTCAAGGAATTTTTAAATTTCATCCTTAGTTTTTTCCTTCACCTGTTGGTCATTCAGGAGGATGTTGTTTAATTTCATACATTTGTATAGTTTTGAATATTCTTGTTATTGATGTCTACTTTTATTTCATTGTGGTCTCATAAAATAGTTGATATGATTTGGATTTTTAAAAGATTTTTGAGAATTGTTTTGTGTTCTAACATATGGTGAATCCTGGAGAATGTTCCATGTGCTGACGAAAAGAATGAGTATTCTGTAGCTGTTGGGAGAAATGTTCTGTAAGTGTCTGTTAGGTCCACTTGGTCTCTGGTACAGTTTTATGTGTGTATTTTTGAGACATGTATGTATTTTTGAGACAGAGTCTTACTCTGGCCCAGGCTAAAGTGTAGTGGCACAATCATAGATAACTGAAGCTGCAAACTCCTGGGTTTAAGCAATCCTTCCACCTCAACCTCCTGAATAGGAAGGACTATAGGCACACATCTGTATCTGATACACCATACCTACCTAATGTTTTGTATGTATTTTTCATAGAAATGTAGTTTTGCAATGTTGCCCAGGCTAATCTGGAAATTCCAACCTTGAGTAATCCTCTCACCTTGGCCTCCCAAAGTGCTGGGATTACAAGCATGAGCCACCACACCCAGCCCTATAGTGCAATTTAAAGTTTGTTTGCTTATTTTCTGTCTGGATGATCTGTCCAATGCGGAGAGTGATGTATTATTGGAGCCTATCTCTCTCTTTATATCTAATAATAATTGCTTTATATATCTGGGTGTTCCTGTGTTGGGTGCATATATATTTACAATTATTATATTCTCTTGCTGCATTGATCCTGCTTTGTTATTTATTAAATAATATTTTGTCTCTTTTTACAACTTTTAATGTCGTTTGTTTTGTCTGATATAAATAGAGCTACACCTACTCTCTTTTGATTTCTGTTTGCATGAAATACCTGTTTTTACCCCTTCACTTTCAGTCTCTATGTGTCTTTACAGGTGAGGTGTGTTTCTTTTTTTAAAATTTTTTAATTTTATTTTTTATTTACTTATTTTTTTATTATACTTTACGTTCTGGGGTACATGTGCAGATCATGCAGGATTGTTGCATAGGTACACAAACGGCAATGTGGTTTGCTGCCTCCATCCTCCCATCACCTACTTCTGATATTTCTCCCCATGTTATCCCTCCCAGACCTTCCCACGCCCATGGTGTCCCTCACTTGGCCACCCCCAACAGACCCCAGTGTGTGATGCTCCCCTCCCTGCATCCATGTTTTCTCATTGTTCAACACTCATCTATGAGTGAGAACATGCAGTGTTTGATTTTCTGTTCTCGTGTCAGTTTGCTGAGAATGTGGTTTCCAGATTCATCCAAGTCCCTACAAAGGACACGAACTCATCGTTTTTTTATGGCTGCATAGTATTCCATGGTGTATATGTGCCACATTTTCCTTGTCCAGTGTATCCCAATGGGCATTTGGATTGCTTCCAGGTCTTTGCGATTGTAAACAGGGCTGTAATGAACATACATGTGCATGTGTCTTTATGATAGAATGATTATAATCCTTTGGATATATACCCAGTAATGGGATTGCTGGGTCAAATGGGATTTCTATTTCTGGGTCCTTGCGGAAGTGCCACACTGTCTTCCACAATGGTTGAACTAATTTACACTCCCACCAACAGTGTAAAAGTGTTCCTATTTCTCCACATCCTCTCCAGCATCTGTTGTCTCCAGATTTTTTAATGATAGCCATTCTAACCAGCATGAGATGATATCTCAATGTGGTTTTGATTTGCATGTCTCTAATAATCAGTGATAATGAGCATATTTTCATATATTTGTTGGCTTCATATATGTCTTCTTTTGAAAAGTGTTGATATTCTTCTCCCATTTTTGGATGGTTTTGTTTGTTTTTTTTTTGTAAATCTGTTTTAGTTATTTGTAGATTCTGGATATTAGCCCTTTGTCAGATGGGTAGATTGCAAAAATTTTTTCCCATTCTCTTGGTTGCTGGTTCACTCTAATGATTGTTTCTTTTGCTGTACAGAAGCTCTGGAGTTTAATTAGATCCCATTTGTCTATTTTGGCTTTTGTTGCCAATGCTTTTGGTGTTTTAGTCATGAAGTCATTGCCAATGCCTATGTCCTGAATGGTTTTGCCTAGGTTTTCTTCTAGGGTTTTTATGGTGTTAGGTCTTATGTTTAAGTCTTTAATCCATTTGGAGTTAATTTTAGTGTAAAGTGTCAGGAAGGGGTCCAGTTTCTGCTTTCTGCACATGGCTTGCCAGTTTTCCCAACACCATTTATTAAACGGGGAATCCTTTACCCATTGCTTGTTTTTGTGAGGTTTGTCAAAGATCAGATGGTTGTAGAAGTGTCGTGTTGCCTCCGAGGCCTCTGTTCTGTTCCATTTGTCTATATCTCTGTTTTGGTACCAGTACCATGCTGTTTTGATTACTGTAGCTTTGTAGTATAGTTTGAAATCAGGTAGCATGTTGCCTCCTGCTTTGTTCTTTTTACTTAGGATTGTCTTGGCTATGCGGGCTCTCTTTTGTTTCCATATGAAGTTTAAGGCGTTTTTTTTCCAGTTCTCTGAAGTAGGTCATAGGTAGCTTGATGGGGATAGCATTGAATCTATAAATTACTTTGGGCCGTATGGCCATTTTCACAATATTGATTCCTCCTAACCATGAGCATGGAATATTTCTCCATTTGTTTGTGTCCTCTCTTATTTCCTTGAGCACTGGTTTGTAGTTCTCCTTGAAGAGGTCCTTTACATCCTTTGCTAGTTGTATTCCTAGGTGTTTTATTCTCTTTGTAGCAATTGTGAATGGAAGTTCACTCATGATTTGCCTCTCTGCTAGACTCTTATTGGTGTATAGAAATGCTTGTGATTTGTGCACATTGATTTTGTATCCTGAGATTTGCTGAAGTTGCTTATCAGTTTAAGGATATTTTGAGCTGAAATGATAGGGTCTTCTAAATATACAATCATGTCATCTGCAAATAGAGACAATCTGACTTCCTCTTTTTCTAATTGAATACACTTTATTTTTTTTCTTGCCTAATTGCTCTGGCTAGAACTTCCAATAGTATATTGAATAGGATTGGTGACAGAGGGCATCCTTGTCTAGTGCCGGATTTCAAAGGGAATGCTTCCAGTTTTTGCCCATTCAGCATGATATTGGCTGTAGGTTTGTCGTAAATAGCTTTTATTATTTGGAGATATGTTCCTTCAATACCTAGTTTATTGAGAGTTTTTAGCAAAAAGGCTGTTGAATTTTGTTGAAGGCCTTCTCTGCGTCTATTGAGATCATCATGGGTTTTTGTCTTTGGTTCTGCTTATGTGGTGGATTATGTTTATAGACTTGCATATGTTGAACCAGCCTTGCATTCCTGGAATGAAACCTGCTTGGTCATGTTGGATAACCTTTTTGATGTAATGTTGCAATCAGTTTGCCAACATTTTATTGAAGATTTTTGCATCTATGTTCATCATGGATATTGGCTTGAAATTTACTTTTTTTTTTTTTGAGTCTCTGCTGGGTTTTGGTATCAAGATGATGTTGGTCTCATAAAATGATTTGGGAAGGATTCCCTCTTTTTGTATGGTTTGGAATAGTTTCAGAAGGAATGGTGCCAGCTCCTCTTTGAACGTCTGGTAGAATTCAGCAGTAAACCTGTCTCGACCTGGACTTTTTTTGGTTAGTAGGCTATTAATTGCTGCTTCAACTTCAGTCTTTGTTATTGGTCTGTTCAAAGTTTCAACTTCTTCCTGGTTTAGGCTTGGGAGGGTGTAAGTGTCCAGGAATTTATCCATTTCTTCCAGGTTTACTGGTTTATGTGCATAGAGTTGTTTGTAGTAATCTCTGATTGTAGTTTGTAGTTCTGTGGAGTCAGTGGTGATACCCCCTTTATCATTTTTTATTGCATCTATTTGAATCTTCTCCCTTTTCTTTTTTATTAATCTGGCTAGCAATCTGTCTGTTTTGTTGATCTTTTCAAAAAACACCAGCTCCTGGATTTATTGATTTTTTGAAGGGTTTTTTGTGTCTCTCTCTCCTTCAATTCTGTGCTGATCTTAGTTATTTGTTGTCTTCTGCTAGCTTTTGAGTCTTTTTGATCTTGCTTCTCTAGCTATTTCAACTTTGATGATTGGGTGTCGATTTTAGATCTTTCCTCGCTTCTCCAGTGGGCATTTATTGCTATAAATGTCCCTCTAGACACTGCTTTAAATGTGTCCCAGAGATTCTGGTATGTTGTATCTTCGTTCTCGTTGGTTTCAAAGAACATCTTTATTTCTACCTTCCTTTCATTGTTTATCCTGTCGACATCCAGGAGCCAGTTGTTCAGTTTCCATGAAGTTGTGTGGTTCTGAGTTAGTTTCTTAATTCTGAGTTCTAATTTGATTGCAGTGTGGTCCGAGAGACTGTTTGTTACGATTTCTGTTCTTTTGCATTCGCTCAGGAGTGATTTACTTCCAAGTATGTGGTCAATATTAGAGTAGGTGCCATGCGGTGCTGAGAAGAATGTATATTCTGTGGATTTGGGGTGGAGAGTTCTGTAAATATCTATTAGGTTTGCTTGGTTCAGATCTGAGCTCAAGTCCTGGATATCCTTGTTAATTTGCTCTCTCATTGATCTGTCTAATATTGACAGTGGAGTGTTAAAGTCTCCCACTATTATTGTGTGTGAGTCTAAATCTCTTTGTAGGTTGGAAGTACTTGCTTTATGTACCTAGGTGCTCTTGTATTAGGTGTGTATGTATTTAGGGTGGTTAGCTCTTCTTGATGCATTGATCCTTTTGCCATTATGTAATGCCCTTCTTTGTCTCTTTTGATCTTTGTTGGTTCAAAGTCTATTTTATCAGAGACTAGGATTGCAACTCCTGCTTTTTTTTGCTTTCCATTTGCTTGGTAAATCTTCCTCCATCCCTTTATTTTTAGCCTGTGTGTCCTTGCATGTGAGATGGGTTTCCCAAATACAGCACACTGATGGGTTTTGACTTTTTATCCAATTTGCTACTCTGTGTCTTTTGAATGGGGCATTTAGTCCATTTACATTTAAGGTTAATATTGTTATGTTTGAATTTGATCCTGACATTTTGATGCTAGCTGGATGTTTTGCCCATTTGTTGATGCAGTTTCTTATTGTGTCGATGGTCTTTACCATTTGTTTGGATTGGCTGGTATTGGTTGTTCCTTTCCTTGTTTAGTGCTTCCTTCAGGAGCTCTTGTAAGGCAGGCCTGGTGGTGACGAAATCTCTGAGCAATTGCTTGTCCATAAAGGATTT